TTTAATAATCTGCTCTAGAATTTTCCCAGGTATTGATGTCAAACGGACAGGCCTGTCCACTTTTTTTCCCTTCTTGACGATCGGGACAACATTAGCTCTTCTCCAGTCTTCCGGCACAACACCAGTACTCCAGGACATCTCAAAGATTAGAGCCAGAGGCTCTGAAATAACATCTGCAATTTCTTTTAGCACCCTGGGATGCAAGCCATCCGGCACTGGAGATTTGAAAGTATTTACCGTCTTCCCCTAGCAATGAGCTTACTCCATCCCTGTTCTTTTTTTTGCTCCAAATATAAGGATAGAAATTTTCTGGTTGTTTTTAGCTCCATCTGCTCTTTAGCCTTTCTGACACCATCCCTACAGATTCGAGCCTGCTTCTTGTACTTCTTGTACTCACCCTGAGTCACTATTCCCCCAAGGATCCCACAACATTCACTTCATCAACCAGTTCTTCCCTGTTAGGATTAAGCTTAGGATAGCAGATCCTCTGGTTCCCACCTCCACCTTCTGAGAGATGACATTGTCTGCAAGACTATTCAAGTATCTGTGGGATGCCCATGTCTAGCAGAGTTAGATTTCCAGCAAATATCTGGATAGTTGAAATCTCCCATAACCACTACATCCTGTCTTTGTGAAAGTTTAGCAAGCTGTTCTACAAATGCATCATCCAGTTCCTCTGGTTGCTTTGGAGGTCTGTGATATTCCCCCACAACAATTTTCCCTTATCCCTGCTCTATCCTTATCCACACACTTTCAACAGGACAACTCTCAAAATCCTGAATTTCAGTGCAAGCGTATTCATTCTTGACATATAGTGCCACACCCCCCTCCTTTTTTGTTTATTCTGTTCCGGTTAAACAAGGTATATTCTTCAATCGCTGTGCTCCATATATGAGACTCATCCCACCAAGTCTCAGTGATACCTATCAGAACATACTTACTTTCCACTATTTGAAGTTCAAGTTCCTCCTGTTTATTTCCCATACTCTGTGCATTAGTATAAAGACATCTCAGATTACAGACATCCTTTCCTACCGTAGGGCCCTTCGATTTTACATGAAAATTACTGAACTCACCTTTCTCCCATTCATTTATTCTCTGGTCACTCCCCTTCTTGAACTTAGTGTTGGGGATGTCGCACAACATCAGGCTTTTTCTTTCCACCCCCGATGTCTTCAGTTTAAAGCCCTCCTGATCAGGTTCACAAGTCTTCCAGCAAAGACATTCCTCCCATTCTTTGTATGATGCACCCCATCTGTCACCAACAGTCCTTCATGTCGGAGGTACATACCATGGTCCAGGAAGCCAAATCCCTCTCGATGGCACCATCTATGTAACCAGCCACTCACCTCCAGTATCCTGTTCTCCCTTCCAGCTCCATGGCCCTCAACAGGAAAAATGGAGGAGAACACCACCTGTGCCCCCAGATCTTTCACCTTCTTGCCCAGAGCCTCATACTCTTTGGATATCCATTCAAGGTTTCTTCAGGCCATATAGTTTGTTCCCACATGGATCAGCAGGAGTGGGTAGCGATCAGAGGTCTTGACCAGTCTTGGTATTCTCTCAGTCACATCTCAGATACATGCTCCAGGAAGACAACAAACCTCTTGAGATTCCTTGTCTAGTCTGCGTACGCTTTCTTCTGTCCCTCTCAGTAGGGAGTCACCAACCACCACTACTTGTCTCTTCCTCCGTGGGATAGCTTGGTTCCTTCTCTGCCTATGTGCTTCCATGTCAGTCACATCCTTTTGATCGCAGAGTGTGCTATTTTGATCTTCCATCTTCAGAAGTGGCTGGTATCGATTTTGCAGCTCCACTGACTGTGAGTGTTTCCTGATTATCTTACTCTTCAAGGTCACATCCTTCCACTCACCCACCTGTTCCTTGTTACTTCCTTCCTCTTGCTCAGGATTTGCTGGCTCTTGCCGTTGTCTCAGGAGCCCCTCTTCCTTCATGTCTAAAAAGCTTTCTCCCTCCCTGATGTTCCTCAGTGTACAGATTTATGCCTCGAGTTCTCCCACCTTCTCCTCAAGCATTCTTATAAGCTTGCACTTGCAGCATGTATAATACATTTCACAGCATGGCAGAAAAATGATCATGGCGCAGCCCAGGCAGGTCACTGGAATAGATCCGTTATCCATCTTCCTTGGAGCAATGCTATGTTCTACAGCCTCAGGAACTTTCCTCAAACTCTGACATAAACTCTTGTTGTGGTAATGTACCCTGAAAACTTTGAGACTGACCAAATGGCTACCTTGCCAGCAGTTCTCTCCCCAGAACTCAGTAGCAGCCCTCTACTCAGGTTCTTACAAGGCCTCCAAGCAAGAGCCACAGGCTACGATCCACAGGCTAAGCGCCACAGGGCAAGCCTGCTCAGGTGAGGAGCAGCCTTTTGTTTCAAAAGGCCCCTTCCTGCTCAGCACAGCAGAGCCCAGCACAATAGGGGGTGGGGCTTGCAATCAACAGCACTCCACAGCAACTCACTCAGCCTCCAACAACCCCCAAAACACAAACAACCCAAAACAAACTTAAACAGAACCACTCTCTATCAGGCTACAAAGAACCCAACTCTCTCTCAGCTCCCACACAGCAGCTAGGAAGGCAAAGGGAGAAAGAAAAATCCCCTACCTTCTATCAGCAACCGACCACGTGCTCTCCACTCCTTGCCTCAGCCCAGCTGAATATGTATCAGCCATAGGACCTCCTTTCTTGTCACCTCAATCTGACTCAGGTCTTTCAATACCCCTCCCAAAATTCTGGAGTGGGCAAGCACTTCTCATTTTCTACAGTGAAGACAGAGGCAAAAAATGCATTCAGCTTCTTAGCCATTTCCCTATCATCCTTCAGTACTCCTTTTACCCCTTGGTCATCCAAGGGCCTCCCTGCCTCCCTGGCTGATTTCCTACTTCTAATGTATTTGAAGAAAGTTTTATTGTTGGTCTTTATATTTTTTGCTATATGCTCCTCATATTCCCTTTTTGCGTGCCTGACCACAGACTTGCATTTTATTTGCCACAGCCCGTGTTCCCTTTTATCAACCTCACTGAGACTAGCTTTCCACCGCTTAAGGGAATCCTTCTTACCTTTTACAGCTTCCATTACTTTGTTAACCATGCAGGCTTTTTTCTATATCTATTTGTATCTTTCCTAACCTGTGGTATATATTTTTTCTGAGCCTCTAGGATCGTAGTTTTAAATAGTCTCCAAGCTTCCCCAATGGTTTTGACTCTTTCTACTTTTCCTTTCAGTTTCTTCCTCACATGTCCCGTCATATCAGGTTTTGGGAGCCCTGTCTATCCACCAATCCCCTCTCACACCTCCCTTTCCACCCCTATGCATAACCTCCACCTGCCTGTGCATTCTTCTCCCACTTGCATGCCCTCCCACTGCCCATGCTCAGTCACCTGCAACACCTGCACCCCCTTTCCCCAACACCGCTGGTCAGTGGCTGCATCTGGGAGTGCTGCTTCCACCAGGAGCACCATCTATGTTGACCATCCACAGGCCCTTTCCAGGGACAGTGGCAGAGAACTTAAAGTAAACAGATGAGAAAGGACATGCAGACAGCTGGGAGGAGAAGTGAGTGGATGGAGGTCAGCAGCAGTGATCCGCACCTGAAGCCCTGGGGCCTGGCAGCTGCCTCACCTCAGGATGTGCTGCCACCAGCCCTGAAGAAGAGGATCAGGAATTAAATATTTACCCCTTAACATCAACCATGAGATGGGGGAGTGATTGGATTCCATGGCAGACTGGGGATTCAAACCTGAGTCTCCCAGATCTAGACCAATGCTTTCCAAATACCATCCTTTTGTCCAGCTAATGTAAATCTTAAAACAGTCTATGGGTAGAGGCTAAATAATGTCTGTGCAATGCTTTTGGTGGTGGAAAGTGCCATCAAGGCACAGCTGACTTATGACAACCTCATAGCTTTTTGAAAACAACAGACATTCAGAGGCAGTTTGCCATTTCCTGCATTTGCGTCATGACCCTAGTATTCCTTGGAGGTTGCCCATCCAAATACCACCCAGGGCCGACCCCACTTAGCTTTCGATGTCTGATGGGGCTATCCAGGTCAGGGTGTGTGATGCTTTTAGTTGATTGTAAATAAAGTTAATAAAGGATGCTATTATTGGTATTATTGGTGGTGGTTCTTCTCCTACTACTATAAAGATAATCTGGGAGCGCCTAATGCTGAGCTAAAGTGCAATGTGATCAACAGAAGATCTCCAGAAGCTGAATGGAAACCATTCTGAGCTTTCTAAACAAAGAGGGAGATGTAAAGTACAGTAAAAAGTGCCACATCTAAATGTCAGGTTGGGCTGAATTTACATGATATTCCCTGGTCTAGAGATAGCTACAATATAGATAATTTGAAAGGATTATCTTTCATTTGAGTAAACAAGTAAACAATGAATGGCTTCAGAGAAAAGGGGAGCCAAGAATTCACGTTTACTCAGGGGTTATCAAGTCTATGCCTTGATGGCTTATGGGACAGTGGGGGCTCACCTTGCAGCTGAAAGGCCTTTCTCCAGTCAATGGCTTCTGCGTTTTCCAGCATTGCTCGACAAGCATCTACATCTCTATAGAAAATGGCATGCAAGTTGGCATAGAAGTCCCACTTGTCTTTCACTACCTACAGGAGAAGACAAAGAACTGCACAGTGAAATGAGGGTATTGACAAGAGGGAGACAGTGTGGATGGGCTTGGTGAGGGATGATGAGTGAGGATAATGATGCAAGAGACAGGGGAAATGGAATGAGGGACAACAGAACCATAGACTGAGCCTCAGAAACCACCTCTAGCTTGGATGAACAGCTTATTTGGTAGCTGTTATTATCAGCCCCGCTGATGATGCCAAGTAGGTGAAGCCAATTCCATTGGGAGAAAATATCAAGATGAAAGGTCAGCATTCTCCCAAAGAGGAAACCACACACACCCCGAAAGCTTTATGTTGTAGTGAAGGAGAAGAGATGTTTTACCCAGAGAACCAACATACATGAGGCTGGCCTTGAAAGCAGTAGACAGTAAACCCAGATGACCACATCATGAAGCACAGTGAGATAACCACCTCAGGGAGCAAACTCCAGGTCCAAAAGGGTAGCGAATGATCGGTTTTGGAAGAGACATAGCTTCAACACAGCAAGGATACTCCATGTCTCTTTTATTGCTGCTGTGAATGCAGAGACATTCATAAGGGTGACACAACACCCAGACATGAGTTTTCTGCATCCTTTCCTCTATCTACCACCCTGTATCCCGCATAGTGCCATTAGAAGTTTTTTCAGGACTTTAAAAAAATTGATACACGGTATAGTGCTTGTTGTGTCTGCTGACCGCCACCAGAGGCCAGCGAACACTCCAGAGCTTGACTCTGGAGTAACAATGGGGACTAGGCTCCTGGTCTCTCCACTGGGGGACCAATGGGACCGTGGCGGGAGATTTAAACCCTCCAACGAGACCTAGGGGTGTGTCCCCAGGTATGTATATAGTTGGCCAGCCGGCCGTTTGTTTTTGTCTTTTGTTGTGTACCAGTAAACCATGCTGATCACTACATCGGTCTCCGTGTTTTCTTCATGCGTTTAACCCACTACACTTCAGTGCTATAGCTTTATTGTGCTATAGCCATTATTGATTTTTTTAAAGCCCCCAGAAAGCCCATTGGTGGTACAGCAGGGGAAACAGTGGTTGCAAAAACTGAGAGAAGAAAAACGGCACACAGTTTGGGATCTCTGAAAATGCTCAGCTTTCCATCCAGATAGCACACTAATGCACTTGGACTGTGTTCTTTCCAAAAAAGATGGTACAAAGTTAACAAATGGCTTAGAAATAATGCTTAATGTAAACTCCAAAATTTGATTTATATACTGCAACTTTGTTTTTCTCTTTGTAATGTAAAAATCATAAATAAATCTTTAAAAAACAACAAAATGTTCATAGCAAAGTAGGCTTGAAAAAGCACATGTGTCAGAACCCACAGCCAACAACGTAGTACACGCTTATCAGGAAAGGTAATACTTTATTGAAGAGCTATAGATGCATTAACATAGGCATTGTTAAGAATGGCGGCTGCCCCTGGGGCATAATAGGATATAGGGTTTTCGTATGCACACACCCCCACACTGCCCTGGCCCATTAGCCACACTCCCGTGCGGGGGAGAAGACGCTCCGGGCATTTGTGCTGAAGCTGGGAACCAAGCTCGCTCACACGGTTCCCTTAGAACTAGACAGAGGTCATTTCAGGGGGGGACGCGGGGGATCGCAGTTCCCCCGGGTGAGGTGCGGGGGGCGGGGCACATGACAAAACCCCGCCCCCTGCTTCCGGCCGCCCCGCTTCCGGCCCTCATTCAGCCCGGAGGAGGCAGGAGAAGAGGGAGGGTAAGTTGCTTCCTCCCTGCCTCTCCCCACCCGTGCCTGCCTGGGGCCAGGGAGGGCCTTTGCAGGGCTTCCTTGCACTCCCGCCGGCCTCACAGGTCCACCGCCGGGCCCCTCATGGGCCTCGGCACTGGAGCTGCAAGGCCTGCGGTGGCGGCCGGGACCGTTGGGGTGGGGTGTGTGGCCTTATGACACACTTCAGGTGATGTCAGGGTGTGTGGCATATGCTAATGAGTTATGCTAATGAGTTCCCCTAGCTCTTTTTCTATGAAATGACCCCTGGAACTAGACATCAACATCCCACCACCTGCAGAATTTAGAGATAAGCGTTACAGCAGCTAAGAAGCACAGAAGGAATGCAAAGGCTAAATCGTGGAAGAGCTCTAAACCAATATTGATTACTGATTGGATAACAAAGATTTGCAAAGTCTGTATATTAAATAAATAACAGAATCTTTAGCACAAAAATGATTATCAGTCTAAATTTTTCTTGATATGCTTTCCTTTTTTGGAATATCTTTAAGATAAAGAAGAATTTGCATCGAGTTTAGATATGATTATTGCACTATGATAATTGGTTATTTTGTTCTTTAAGTTGTAATGTTAATAATGTCTGTAGTTTGATGTGGAGTTAATCATCAGGCGGTGGAAGGAAGGAGGTGGTGAGGTGGTTCAAACCCTCCCCCCCTCCCCGAGACAACACTGCTGGAGATGGCCACGCCCCACAATCACCTTCCCAACAGGTGAATGAAAGGGGATATCCCTGGAGAAAAGGGACTCCCTCCAATTCCAAATCCCAAATGCTCTCTATCGTGCTCCCCACACAGGCTCTGGCTTGCAGCAGATCTCAGGCCGCAGTGCTGGAGACTCAGGCCTGCGACCCACTATGACCTCCCTGCGAGGAATGGCCATGTACTCACCTCACCAGCAGTAGGAGTGGAAGGGGATGGGTGGCTCTGGACTCGGAACCACATGAGACAAGGAGGTAGAAGACCACCGAGTCCTGGACTCAATATGCCGTGCCCCCCACTCAGGCTCCGGCTTGCGTCCAGAAGGATACAGCCACTTGTATCCACAGCAAACACCATGCTGGATCTGGACCCCTGCCTGGAACTAAAGAAAGACGCGCGCCCCCCCCAGATCCCCCTTGTGTGCCATGTCCCCACCCAGACTCCAACTTGTGGGTGCAGTGAGAGGGAAATGGTCATTGGTGACCACAGTGACACCATGGAAGGATTGCCCTGTGCCAGAAGACAGTAGTCACTTTGCCAGTGGGGCAAGCGAGAGGGAATGGCCCTAGACTGGAACCCATCACCAGCCTGAATAACGGGACGCATCCTAATCCTCGGTGAGCCCGAGCGAGCAAACACCCAGGAACCAAACACATTCCTTGCAGTCACTTTGCCAGTGGACTGAGTGAGTGGGGATGGCTTTTGACTGGGATCTACATGACCACCAGCCTCTTCCACAACTGAGGACACAGTCAGGGGCCCAGACTTAGGTGGGCTGCAAGCGACCCCTTCTCCCTGCTCACACTGAGCACAGGACTTTAGCCAATGGCCACTTCTAGGGTGATGAGGAGAGCCCCTATTCATGTTACCCCAACACTGCTGGAGCAAAACAAGCCCGAGGAAGGAGAAGGGTGAAGGGGGTGGCCCTGGAAGGAGGACAATGCATTCAAGGACAATGCATTCAGCATCGCAAGTCATGACCACCAATGATTCTTCCCAGCAGGATTTGTCCATGCCCTGTAATCACCTTGCCAGCAGGCAGAATGAGAGGCCATGGCTAGGATTTTGGAACGGAGCCAGGGAAAGACATGCTGCCATGCCAGAATGAGGACCTGGCTACTGCTCCCCTCGGAACATCGGATGGCCCTGCACTGCAGTCACCTTGCCCCCCTGAGACCTGGAGCCCCGGAAGGAGGGGAAGGGAAAAACCTCCCAAACAGGGCCCACGGCCATGCCCATGCAGCCCCTCAGTGGCACCGTGAAACTGGAGTGCAGGAAGGGTCCCAGGACAACAGCAAGGAGGAAGGCCTCACTCACACCAACACCAACGCAAGGCCCAGGGGAAGACGTTGGCCAACCTGCAGTCACTTGTGGGTGGGGCAAGGGAGAGGCGCCATTACACTGCTTGAAAGGGAGACCCTGGAAGCCCTGGACATGAAAGAAGGACACAGTCCACTGGATGTGGAATCGACACTGAACAGTGAACCCCTCAAAACTGGACTCTCCCTGCACTGCAGTCACCATGCCAGTGGCGAGAGTGAAAGAGGATGGCTGCGGAGTTGAGCCATCTAACCAACGGGAAGCCCCCTGGAGCCTGGAACAAGGGGAAGGGATAGGGGAAGAAGGAAGGTGCTCCTAAAGAAGGCCTCTGGCCCTGCCCAGGCACGCAGCCCACCACCTTGACACCGACAGCAGAGAGTGAGTGAGAGGAGAACAGGAGACAGCTTGAGCCCTGGGACGATGACAGTGATGAGGAGGAGGAGGAGGAGGAGGGAGATCTGCCAGGCGCTAAGGGTAAACAAGGCACAGGGGCTTCCACAGCAGAGTGCAAGAGAGGATACGGCCGTAGTCGCCCTGCCAGTGGTGCGTGTGGCAGAGGCTGCCCAGGGCCTGGGGACCAAGGACCTTTTGGACTCCGTGCTGAGTGAGGCGCACAGCCACAAAATGCCAAAGCGAGCCATGTGTGTTGATGTGCTGCCTTGAGGACCCCAGGCCATTATGGACGAGGACAGCGCCACAAGCGTCCCACACCTGTCTATGTCGCTCAGCCAAAAAAGTCTGGGCCTGGTAATTGCCCCGCCTGCAAAAGGTGGAGGTGGCTGGTGGCCAGGAGTTATGACACAAGGGGAGGTGGCTCAGAGCCAGGGCCCAAAGGGAGCAAAGACACAAAGAGGGAAAGAAAAGGAAACAGAAAGACCACCCAAACTTCAGGACAAGACCTTGGGGAAAATCCTGGCCATCCAGTCACGGCAATCACCTTGACGGGGGGGGGGGGTGGATCACTCTCTGTGCCTGACATGCTGTCACACCACAAACACCCAATCTGAAATACAGGGGGGGAGAGAGATGGGTCACATTCGGGTGAGAATGGTGGATCAACAACCCCCCCTCCACCCACCAAGTTCCTGTTCACAGGAACGTTCAGCCAAGGGCATGCCCTGCAATCAGTCACCCTGCCAGTGGTGTGGGTGAAAGGGGATGGATGTGAATGGGCTGTGTGACCTGGAAGGTAAAAGGGGACATGGGAAGG